TGAGCAAAGTTTTAGCGAAACGCGCGAGTTTAAAAACCTTGTACATTTCTGTACCATACAAAACTAAAACGTTAAAACAACAACTTTACGTCCTCCAAGCAATGAAACCTCGACAGCAATTAAGTCACGCTTTTGTCCTGAACTCAAACTGCATTCACTTGTTATGCCGCAGTGAAGACGTCGTATCGTCAGAAACGGTTAACCCATCGAGCTATGGGCGAAAATCTTAGAGGAAAATGATTCCGTTTTTTCGCCTACCTCTCACTACACGTTACCGCAGTGACCTCTTAAACTCCCTAATTACAAGCGCTACGTACGACAACCTCGAGAAATTTCACCCCAGAATCTCGCAATTATAAGGTTGTAAGTAAACACAGGTTATTTTTCGCCCACAGTTAGGCGTGTCACAACGCCTGCCAGGGGTCCCCCACCTTCATGTAAACAGATCCTAACATTTTGTTCTCTGCCATCGAAACTTACATGTCCAATGCAGTGATCGAGGTTCAAAGCATATTTCGCTGAAGCTATAAATTGCAACGCGAAGATCAAGCAATGGTAGTGTAATTATTTGGAAAATACACATGCGAATAAACTCTTGCCGCACGCAGCTACCTAACTACTGATTGTAAGTAAAATAAGGCATCGGAAAAAATAAGACAGTATAAAGAGCACGAAAACAATTATTTAGAAAGTCTACCGGTACAGCCTTTGCAGTAGACTTATTGAATTCAGCTACTTTCTCTTTTTCATCCTATAGCATAAATGACTATAGAACGCATCGCCTAATCGGATGTTTTATCAGGTTTTATAGTTCACCACTAAATTTTCCCCGATTCTTACTGATTTCAGTTGATACCGTGACGCGATAGCTTTCATCCGTTGAAAGACACTATCAGCCCATAATGCACGTCCGCGGAAAATACCCGGATGGATAGTACCCATACGTAAAAAATTTTGAATGGTTTGACGGCCGCGAAGTTAGGTAGATCGGGAAAGCAGTGACGTTTTAATTCTGACAGACATAACGTATTATTTAGCCAATGTACGGTAGCGAATTATTGACAATTTTGACAGGCTGTGCGCATGAATAAATATTTAATTAATCTACATTTAAGGGGTTTTGACTGTTTTTCAACTGGCGCGCGGAAGAAAATTTAGTGGTCAACAAGACAATAGAGTGTTTATGTCTCGGAACTATTGGTCTGATAGTTCCGAGACAGAAACACTTTATTATCTAAATAATACCCGCATTTGATCGGTGATAACTAGTTAGGTCATATTAGCAATAGAACACATGGCCTAAATCCCTCAGTTGTAACTTACGTCGTAAACACCTCTTTCATCTTCATAAGTCCTACAATTGATAAGGGATAGTTTTAATTGAAATTTTATGTTAACATAATACAATCTCTGGTGCATTACACTAACACAGTACGGAAACGGTAGCAAATTCTTACCTCTGTTTCCCAACAGCGCCTGAAAAAAATAACAAAGGGAAAAAGACAAATGATGTACACGTGGGTTAAAAATTTTCTTTTGGCTAATAATGACTCGTACAGTCAAGCCCCCTAACATAGAAAATAAATTTTTACTTACCTTTCCTGTGTAGCCAGATTATGTAAATCACAAGAAGAAGGATTATGAAGGCAAGAACCCCAATTAAGGCAAACAAGACGTTGTTAGATCGGCAGTTATATTCCTCAGGACCTAAAATGATTGGTTTTATAAAGGTTAATGAAGTTACATTCATATGATATTTACACTGATCCTGGTTGATATACTGCTCTCATTATAGGGCTTGGGATTGTGACCGAAAAAAACGTCAAATCTGATTGGCCAGATGTTGGGGAAAAGTGAGGCGTTACTCTACTATAAAAATTTAAAAAAAGCAAAGTTTTGTATAATTAAACAACAACAACAACATCAACGAAAACGACAACAACAACCAAGAAATATATTCCTCTCAAATATGATTTGTTTGATAAAAAAATATAGCTCGACTCCCCCCTTTTGGAAAATAGTTTCGCAATGCCACATTAATCAAACAATTTGTGTTTGAAGATAGCAAGCGTTTTTGTGACTCAAAATATCCATCGAACCAAAGTCGGAAGGTATACAGAATTTTGGTCATAAAGATCTTTTGAGTCGAAACATGACACCCTTTATGACTCGCATGCTCTTACATGTTCGTATAAGATGAGGGGTAACTAGGGAATAGAAATAACTTCGCAAACAATTTTTCGAGTCTCCATATAGTCCGTGCTGACTGTTTTTGCCAGTCTGCAGTCCCTCGCTAAGTTCCAGACCCTTAGTAACTTAATTCACTTTTTTATTCAAACTCATTTTGTAGAACATCAGACCGTAGAACGTGCTCTTTTGATAAAAACTTTTTCCAACGGTGTATAAAAAAACACGAATAAAAAAAACCATTTACCTGCGGGAGTTGTTTGGAATGGAGTGGAAACTGTACTCGATACTGGTTTAACTGGAGAAAACAAAAATACGACCTTTAAATGATCGACGTGAAATTTTCAATTTTATACACCGAATGCAAATATGGCGTCCAATTTGAATTGCCATTGTTCTGGACTGACTCGCCTCGTCTTCACGTGGATATACAAAAGGATTATTACATGTGTGAGAGGCTAGTCAGTCCAGAACAATGGCAACTCAAGTTGGACGCCATATTTGCATTCGGTGTATTTTTACCTCAAACCATACTTACCATACTTACCTCAAACCACTTGATGGTAATTACTATATCTCAGCCGGAGGATCGACGCATCGAATTTGTTTCAGGGAGGTCTAAAACTATTATCATTATTAAATATATAATTATCATAAAAATTAACATTGTTATCATTATTATCCTTATTGCTATTATCATCATCGTCACGATTATCATTAAAAGGCGTCCATTAAAAATTGTAACAGAATTACAGAAAGGTTCACAGAATCTAACGGCAAAGCCTATTTTAAATACAAAACTCACAAGGACGATTTAGTCCCAGTTACAAATTGGAATAATAGCTTTCCCTTAGTTTTAAAGGTATCGATGCATGGGGACTGTTTAATATAAGTTTTGAAATAAAATGTCAAGTGGCGACATGTCAAATGCAACTCGAGTTGATATTTTGAGACGGGGGCTAATGTGTTCTTCTAATATCAACAGC